CAACAGCTCCCATCAACCTCATCATAATCATCCTCCTCATCAACAACAACACTGAGTAGGAACTGGCACAGCAGAAGCAGCAGCAGAAGTACCAAATATTATTGCAAACCTTCCCTTACCTTGGTCTGAAAGGATGAATGCATTGCTGTCAGGAACGGTGGTTTGGCCTTCAGCGCCAAGACATTCCTTTCAGTCATTGTGCAGTCAACGTCATCTTCGACAACGATCACGTCCTTCTTGAGAATCTTTATGGCATACACCTCATCAGTGTGCTTGAACTCAGCAAGGACAACCTGGATGAACACGGATACAATTATACTGTATAGGCATACGGACGGACACAAGTGGCTATCACTCTGCATCTTATCTTGGAGCTGACCGATGGAACTCCCTCCGTGCCGCGATTCGCACCAGATCCCTACCTGCTGCATTTCGCTCCGCTATCTTCACGTGGCTAGGGCACCCTGTAAGAAGACCATAGGTCTGTGGGGACTGCCCTAGTAAAATATGAATAAATAATAAGGATGAATAAAATAATAATAATAAATAAATAAATGTAAATGTCCTTTTCCTTTCTACTTTTATTATTGGCTCAATACCCGAGTTTCAAATAAATAAATAATAATAAATAAATAAATGTAGAAAGGAAAAGGACATATGGAAACGAGTTAAGAGTAACTCTCCACCACTGTAGGAGTTTAGATTTCGGCTTATACAATTCGTTCTCGCAAAGCTTCCCCCTTCTTAACTTATCTTTGATATTTTTGACCCACCCAAGTTGGGTGGTGTGCTGCTTTGCTGCTTCGAATTGTAGTTAGACCGCTTTGTCAAATCGCCTACTGGTCTCGTCATCGTCCAGTGACAATCGACATTCTTTGTTCCGTTGGGACTGTAGCTTGTGCTCGTTTTCGTTGCGCTTGCCTTCCCCTCTTTGGTCTTTCCATAACCTTGAACCTTCCAAGTTGGAAGGCTGTCGGTTAGCGCTACGGAGATGTGTTGAAGCTAGGTGTCAGGACGTCGAATGTCTCAGTACTCTGTCAGTTTTGTGCCTAGTTGTTGCACTTTCTGACTGTATATAGTATCTAGTTACAGTGGTGGAGAGTTACTCTTAACTCGTTTCCATATGTCCTTTTCCTTTCTACTTTTATTATTGGCTCAATACCCGAGTTTCAAATAAATAAATAATAATAAATAAATAATAATAATAAGTATGTGTATGTACATGTACAGTTCTGACAACTGAAATCCGACACCCTGAGCGGCGCCGCTCACATCGCAAAGACCCAACACGGGATGGTAAAACTACGAAATAGAGACTCGGCTAGGATGTGAACGCACCGCTAAAGGGGTCGGATTTCAGTTGCCAGCACCGTACATTGTACGTACATGCAAGAGTAAACAAACTCCCAATAGTGTGCAACTCCGCATGTGGGGTGTCCGACGGCGGAAACTTACATCCCATATGTCAGGTACGTTTCGTACTACATACAAACGAAGGATAACGTGCGCACAGTCTGATTATCTGCCATGATCATGCTGGAGATTTGCATACGCGCAGTGAGTTTCTGTCAGAGAGTGCTTTTTTTATTACTGACCTCCGGTCGCTAAAAACGAGCTGGAGACGTACAACTGCAATATTACACCACGTAATGTGAGTTTACGCCGTCGGTGAACCCCATGGAAAGGGCATCAGGGGCTGCACACTCTTGGGAGCTTATAATACTCTTCATATGCAATGCATGTACGACACATTACGACACTCTCTCGTACAGGCATGCCAAATTAAGGAAAGGAGGTATCAGGTAGGGGTGTCATCGGGTAGCAGGGTACCCATCTATGCGTAATCAGAGTGAGTATTCGGGTAGCAGTTTGCTCCTGAGAACCCGATCGGGTAGTTGGAGTACGGTATTTTCGCAACAGTGCATGTAAAAATAAAGCATGGCTATGTGCTTACTGTACACTTTCTATGTAGCGCAAGTGCACACTCACTGTACAATTATTATTATTTTATTATTATGCTCTATTCGCGTTAGCATCAGTGAGCTTATAAAGCTCACATATAGCCTTCGCTTAAGCCGCAAGAAGGAGCAAGTGAGCGCGAGGAAGCGCAATGCACACAGAGCGTCAAAACAAAACAAAAAACAAAAAAGAGACAAGCTGCAAGAAGGAGCAAGTGAATGCGAGGAAGCACAGTGCACATCAAGCATCACAATCACAAAAAAGACAAGATGGAAACGCAAAGTTATGTCCATTGTTGCATTAGCGACTACATACAACCTTCACCAGGTCCTGCCACTGAGGGCGATCCTGGGCGAGCTGCTGCAGCCTGTTGCAGTCATCTCCGTTATCTATTTAAATAAAGGTATAAATTATGTCCATTGTTTCATTAGCAGCTACATACAGCCTTCACCAGTTCCCGCCACTGTCGACGGTCTTGGGCAAGCTGCTGCAGCATGTTCAAGTCATCGCCAGTCTCTAGGGCGGTATTATTTTTCAGCTTTTTGAGATCATTATTGAGCGTTCGCGGGAGCGTTGTTCTTGGGCGTCCCCTAAAGCTGGGGCCGTTACCCCCTAAGAAGTAAGCTCCCATGGCACGTCTGGCTGGGGCTGCCTCTTCCAAACGCAGCACATGACCAAACAGCCTCCATCTAGCATCTCTGATGATTTGGCTCACGGGGCGAGATTCTGTGCGTTTATACAGGGAAGTGTTCTTTATTATGAGCGGGTATTTAATGCCTATCACTGTTCGCAGCTGCTGCCTGTGGAACGAGTCCAATTTCCGCTCCTGTGTCCCCGTGAGACTCCACGTGCCACAGTTATAAAGCAGGATTGGTAGAATGAAGCTATTATAGAGGCGCACTCGTAGAGACTCTCTGATGTGTTGCCCTCTCAGCCATATCACCCACATCCGGTGAAGTGCGCTTGTAGCCAACCGCTTTCGTCTGCCTATGTCCTCATCCACTCCAAGCATCGAGCCCAGCTTTATTGTGTGTCGCCACTGTTCCTCTATTCGATCCTTTTGTCTGCTTATCATAGTCACTGTACAAACTATGTCAAAATACTCGGTAGGGTGCCTGTTCTACCCGGATAGAAATATCCAAACTCGTTACTCGACCAATTCCCTACTCGTTGCACCCCTAGAGTCCATTTCAAAACTATAGACGCGTACCTAGGCAAAAACCGTTATGCCAGCATCTGGGCGTCTGTTATCCAATCGTTTAGAAACTATATGAGAGTAATTGTGGAGCGGACCTGAGCAATATTCCGAAAACTATTCTCAAAAAGCTCCAGCCAAATTTGAAACATTTCAAAAACCCTACGCGTCTATAGTTTTGAACTGGACTATAGTATTCGGCATGCAACCTCTCTAATGAGGAAGAACAGAAAGATGAAAACACACAACACGAGAAACCACAGGGGAGCAAAAAAAGTACACCTCCGACGGGATTCGAACCCGCAACCCCCGGCTTAGGAGGCCGATGCCATATCCATTAGGCTACGGAGGCCTACACAGTGGTCAGTAAACAAACACATCTACTCTCTTTCACACTCGCTCACACGTACACACACACGCGCGCGCGTGCGCATGCACACACACACGCACATACCCCTGACAACCGCTGAAGCGATGATAGCGAACAAGCTATGTTAGACATAGCAACAAACATAGCACCTTGTGGTGGGATTACACCATTCAACAGCTTCCAAGGCTGATGAATTGACCGCCACTAATTTTAGCCTGGTCTACACCACACGGCTGGTTGAAGTGACTTTTTCTGGCCAATGAATCCCTATTTTTCATTTTCTCCATTTTTACACACACACATCACACCACATACTCCGGCAGGCGCTGGCTGCTGGTAACCACCCAGGAGAATGAAAGAAGAGCAAGGAGAATGAGAAAGAGAAATTCCCCCTTGAGTTGAGCTTTCACTCGGATTCTCACCTTTCCGAAGCTTCCCTTGCCAAGCACCTGAACGATCTTGAAGTCGTCGAGAGCCGGCTTCATTCCCTGTGCGATGGATGACCGCGACAAGCGTGGCGACTTGGGCGCCTGACTGGAGGAGCTCTGCAGCGACAGAGAACACGACGAAAGCATGCACCAAACACGCAGATATGCTAGGCCTAAAAAATCACATTTCCGACCTGCTCTCTTTTTTTCTTTTTCTTTTACTATTATTCACAAACCCAACTCGTAAAATAAATAATGATGTGGACAAAAACAAACAGCTCTTGTGATGGCGTATACGTTTCACAGTCCACATCGGGAAGTTCGTGATTTTGGTCCACAATATGCCCCCTACTAACTAGGCACCATCAATTGTACGTCAGATTCAAAAAAATTTAACGATGTTCACATACTCAGTTCGAAAGGAATAATGAAAGACAATGGTGTGGAGACTACGACAAACGTGACAACTAATGAGCAGGCGCTGCACCGTGACGCAGCGGTGATGGCGGGGCATTGAATGTTTCGCCTAACCTATTCCTGCAGACAGATGCGTTAATGCCATATGTTGCACCTGGGCTACATGTGAACTGTGTTTATCATTAAGAGGATAGCGATTAACGGGACCAACTGAATTGACATTTCACAAACAATCTCTTCCTTATCGTAGTCAAATTTTCCTCTTTGTCCATCACCTCAAATTCTTCCGCATACACAGGTGCAATAAAGCCGTTATGAAGTGTCGATTCAGTTGGTCCTGTTGATCGTTATCCTCAAATACAAGTTGACGCCACGCCGCTTGTTTAAATGAGTTTATAGCTATTAATTCGAAGTATGCAAAGTTGAACTCATCTGGTTACGTTGGTGGACAGTTAGTCATAAGTCGTAACATTTTGTCCTTCTTCTTTATTTACTTCAAAGTATTATTATGTTGACTTATATTATGTTGGCTTATTAGTATTATTATGCTAGAGGAGTAGCTTACAATGGACAAGCGCTGTGAGCGTTTCTCCAGCAGCTCTGCATCGTTGTAGATGGGCACGTTGTAGACTTCGCCCTCGCGTTGGTTCAGCAGCTTGTACCAGCGCTCTAGCGGTTTCGGATCGACCTGCTGGTCGCGCAGCTCCTTGACTGGAAATGTCATGGCACCTGAATTGCACACACGCACGCACACACGCACGTGCACACACACACGCATGCACGCACTCACACACACGCACGCACATACGCACACATCCACATGCACACACGCACGCGCACACGCACGCACGCACACACACCCGACAGGATAGAGAGTGCTCAGATATCCACATGTACACACAGCCAACAAATGTGGAGTATGTTCGACGATTTTGAAACAGCCCCTGGCAGCGGGGAAATATGTACATGAACATCCGTGTTTGGTTACCCCTCGTCCTCCCATTCACCCTAAATTCTTGCATGCTTTAATGCCAACTTAAGTCTGCTTTAGTTACAAATCAAAACCTGAATTTAGGACTTTTCACGTTACCTGGCCGGCAGAGAACGCAGCATATGGTGTGAGACACCCCAAACAACATGACCGTTCCTCCTTTGAGCATTGGTGTGCAGAGGCATCGGACACGCTACGGTCACTACGATATTGACCGTACCACTTTTTGTCCCGGGTACCCTGTGAATCAATAAAAAAGCAGTCGGGGCTCTAAATTTCGAAATTTTCCAGAGGAGCCACCCAACCTCACGAGTAAATTGTACTTCAGATGGCTGACCGTACCACACTAAAATACCTTCCAACACCCCTGGACCACTGTGCTGTGTGCCTACACTGCTCACCCATGAAATCATTGGCAGTCACACGATCCCAGTCCCACATTTCCACGCTGATACAGCCGTGATGGTAGTCCTCTCCGCGGATTTCACTGCAGCACACCAAAGACAAAAAAAGTTTTAACAAAAGAGTAAATTATCGTGTCCGTTCCCGAAGGGAACTCACGACGGCCGCCAACACAGGGTAAACCCTAGCGGCAGATGCAGCGCCTAACGGGGGGGGGGGGGGGGAGTGGATACGTCTCACAACCACTGGCACAAGTGCAGAGAAACACCATTAGCCGCATCCATGTGCCCCTTGTGCCTGGCCACAAGTTCCCAGTTGACTGTGGGTAGCAGCACGGCTGGAAACTGCCAGAGACAAACAGAGGCAACAAAACCAAGAAGAGTGGAACACGGCTTGAGCAGAGATCCTGACGACGAACACTGATTTGCCCATGCATCTGGTATTTCACCCCCCCCCCCCCATCCCACAGTGCCCGCACCCCTGTAGAAATTACTGCAACGCGCCCATCCGGTTCCCCAGGTCCAGGGTACCAGCACCCAGTCTCAGTCTGGTACGTGACCGACCTGCGGGCTGGCTGTACGAGGGCTTACAATTTGAAGAGCTCGTTCCACTCCGGATTGAGCGTCTTCTTGCAGATGCCGGTTTTCTTCTTCCCGGTACCCAGACTGTCGGGACGCAGCTTCATCTTCACGTACGGATCAGACATGCCGTTAGGATCCATGGATAGGACGTGCTTGGCTGCCTTGACTGCACACAACACACAACAACACAAATTGGATTCACCCTCACTTCCTTGTATTGGCTATTTTCATTATGTGCCATGAAGTGCAGACAGTAAATAAAATAAATAATAATAATAATTAATTGCGCAACACAAATTAGTAGTACACAACACAGAAGCGGCAGATGCAGCGCCTAACGGTGGACGGGTGAGTGGTCAAGTCTCACAACCACTGGCACAAGTGCCGAGAAACCCGATTAGCAGCCCTGCGGAACAGGTACACCAAATCTCAATGGAAATTGACATCACCACTCCGAAATTCAATACACCCAATCTTAACCCATTCAGCGCTACTGGGCCTTGCCTATGGTACTCTGCATATTAAATGCTAAAAACAGGGCCAATAGCAAGTTCTAAAACTCCAGGGTTCTGGCAACTGGGGTCCTCAAATATTTTGGAAAGGATTGCCAAGACTATCAACCACAGGGTGACAGAATCGATACAGTCCCCAAAAACAATAGCGCATCACAACAGGGGACGCAAGTTTGCTCAAATTGCGTGAAATACGCCAAATGCGTGAAATTGCAGCTGAAAGATCGTTGAAAAGAGAAGAAAAAAAGACGCGTAGTGTTTCCAAGCGGGATTCGAACCAACGACCTATCGTACAAGAGGCAGGATCATGATCCAACTGACTAACAGTGCTTTTACACACCAGACAGTGCCAGAAATCACTATTATCCCATGACGTCTATAGACGTCATCCCGCGCATGGGGGGCATTTTCAATGACGTCTATAGACGTCATCAGCGTTCAATGGGTTAAGTAGACTACAGTTGTCCCTCTTTAATCCGGCACTTTATCAACCAGCACCCTCTATAAACCAGCAAAATGTTCAGCAACCAAAATGTACTTTCCTCCACACTGCAGCAGTAAATCAGATTTTCTAATCCATGAACCTCTCTAATCCAGCAACCTCTCTAATCCAGCAACCTCTCTAATCCAGCACCCTTCCTAATCCAGCAACCTCTCTAATCCAGCAACCTTTCTAATCCAGCACCCTTCCTAATCCAGCAGAATTTCAACAGCACAGATGGTGGCGGATTGCAAAGGGACCACTGCACTAGTATGTCGGTCTAAAGCATCAGTCACGTAGCCATGACGGTCTTCCCATGGTGTGAGGATTGCCAGGCCATCTTACCAATGAGTGTAATACTGGCGGAGCACGGCGTCTTTCCATCCTCGTACAGGAAGCTGAGCAGCAAGCGGCCCCGCTTCTCGTTGTGATCCCTGCCGCACAGCCGGGGGACGCGATCCTGGCAGTCCTTGTGCACGTTCATCTCGCAAGCTGCATGAAGTGATCATCACCGCACATTGCGTGTAAAGAAACTATCAAGCAATGACATCGCCGTGCAAGAGCATAAATCCTGCAATGACCTCATCGTGCAAAAGTACAATTCCTTCAATGACATCATCATGCAATAACACCATTCCTACAATGACATCATCATGCAATAATATCATCGTACCATGACATCATCTACATGTATGTACTCAGTGCCATCATCCAATGACCTCCTCAACTAGTGTGCAAAACTAGCGGAGGATGGTTCTGCCGGTCAATGAAGATGATGAGAGTACACCATTGGCACAAAGTGCAGTATGCAACGTTGTGTGTGGAAGCAAAGTGTGAAATGGCAACCAACAACATTAACATGAACTAGAAGGGACAGAGTGGACAATGGAGATACGGAGGGAAGAAGAAAAGTTCAGTGGGGGTCTATACTATGTAAACCCGTCCAATCCCTGTCTTGCATATGTCAGAACTGCCAACGCAATGTCTCCTGAAACACGCTCCAAGCGGCATTGGAAACTCTATTGAACTCACCGGAGCATTGCATGCCCTGATGGAAGAGTCCGTACACCATGCCACCGCAGTGGTCGCAGTACGTCGGCGTGCTGAACGTCTTGATGGAGAACTTGTGAGGGTTCTGGGCCTGCAGAGCAATCAGTCATAAGAAAAGAAAAGCGGCCATCTGATGTGTAGCGGCTCTCCGCCTTCCCTAGCTACATTACACCAGCAACAGTTACTGTATTTTCCGGAGTATAAACCGCACTGGAGTAGAAGCCACACACACCCCTCCTCCCCCCCCCCTCCGTTTTTTTGCCACAAACCACAGACATCTACACTACTAGTTTATCACCGTTAGTTTAGTCTTCGGAGGAAAAGGCGACATGTTGCCGCGGCACAGCATCGCGCGGCGTTGGCAGGATGTGGACGCGGCAGAGATGAAAGTCTTCATGGGCCCGTATTTTGTGACAGGTCTCGTGTGGAAGCCGGAGCTGGACCAATACAGGTCAACCGATCCCTACACCTGCACGCCTGGCTTCGGCAAGGCAATGTCACGTGACCGATGGCTAGCGATATTGCAGTTCCTGCACTTTGCCGATAACTCAGCTGCAGACCAAGCTGACAAGTTGACCAAGATCCCAAGATCCCGCCACTGATCACACTGCTGAACCACCGTTTCCAGCAAGTGTACATGCCCACGACGCGCATCAGCATTGATGAGGAGCTTGTGGCCTGGAAGGGGTGCCTCAGCTTCCGCCAATACATTCCGTCCAAGCGAGCTCCGTTCGGAATCAAAATCTTTGCCTTGTGTGAGGACTCTGGCTACCTCTACAACTTCATCATCTATGTCGGCAAAGACAACGCCTCATTTGATGCTGATGTGGTCCGCCAAGTCGGTGTATCCGGAGCTGTCGTCGCCAAACTGATGCAACCTCTCGCTGGCAACTGATACCAGTTGTTCGTTGACAACTGATATAGGGGAGTGGCTCTGGCGTGATACCTGGCTGACAACGGCGCCGCAGTTTGTGGTACAGTGCGGAAGAACCGCTCTGGGTTGCCAAAGCGTACTGCAAGCAAGGGTGGATTGAAGAAGAGAGAGTTTGTCAGCCGCAGCTCTGATGGCCTTCTATTTGTCAAGCTGCGCGACAAGAAGGAAGTCTGCTTTCTGTTGTCCATGCACACCGCAAATGCCATCGCCACCGGAAAACATGACCGCCGGCGCAGGATGGGGAGAAAGTTGTCCCTTGTGCAGAATTACAACAAGTTCATGGGTGGAGTTGATAGGAACGACGAGATACTCTCCTGTTACACGTCAGCACGGAAGCCTTACAAGTGGTACAAGAAGTTGGCTGGACACGTGATGGAGGAGCGCCTTCTGAATGCCTACCTAATCCAGAAGAAGAATGGCAGCACCCTATCCCACTACGACTTCATCCGTGTCGCGTGCAGCTCCATGCTAATCGACGCCGGGAAGGTTGAGCTGAGGGAGATCCGCGTCGCCGATGAACCACTGCCCACAGCTGCTGCAACTGCAGCTCATCAGCGGCCACGGTGTCAGCCACACCTCCGCGCCTCACTGAACGCCATCATCCGGCAATTCTCCCCGCCACACCGAAGAAGGCGAGCCCACAGAAGCGCTGCGCTGTACGCTCGGCAAACGGTGTCCGGAGGGAGTCTCGATACTACTGCGAGGAGTGCCCCAATGCCCCAGGATCGTGCGCTGCACCTTTCAAGGTGTACCACACACACAGCTTGATTATGGCCAGCTGTAACTCATTTTTCAAGGTCCTGCCTGGGAAATGCAAAGATCTGCCAGTATTGTTGATTTCATAGGAAAAATCGCAAAAATAGCCTACTTCCAACTGTGTATATTTAGTCTTGTATAATAGAATCGACCCCGAGTTCAAGACCCGCGCTGGTAGCAGGGAGCGTGTAAAAAGACTTTTTACGCGTGTTGAACTGCGCCGACACCCACGGTCAACTGGGTACTCACAGCTCGGAGTGAGAATAACAAGGATGCGGTTTACAGGGTTATGGGCCGTTACACGCCCGATTGGTTGAGAGACTAACCTCCTCTCCCCTGACTCACTTGTGAGGTCTGCATTCGCCACTAAGGTTAACAGGCATAGTGGTGGCCTGCGGATGCGAAGGCTAGTTTGTGTGTTTCTGAACATTCAAGCGATGCCGACGCGGATCCCGCGAATATTATTATAATAGAATTAGGCAATACATATGTTTTTAAGATTCACTGCACATATGTACATACCCACAACCAACAACAATTTTTTTGGACAAGAATAAGCATTTTGAAAAATCTCCATTTCTGGCCCAGTGGGAGAGGGTTTTACGGTCAGGGCCGAAAGGGTGAAGGCTTCTCTCCCAAACAATCATGCCCTAGTTAACATTGCAGATTCTATTCCAGAGGAATCTCTTCTATTTCTTTCAACTCGGTGGTCTTCGCAGAGGTGTGGGGTGGGGGAGGGAGTGCGGAGGCCTTAAGTAATTGAGGTGAGTATTTTTTTTTAATTACAAGGAAAATTAGCTTGAAGTAGAAACATAGCTTTTGTGGTGAGCACACTCTAGCACCACAATACAGAGAGTAATTCTTGTGCGGCTTCAGGCATTGCCGCATTCCACACCCATGTCCATTATTGGGATTCGCAGGGAGGCCACTTCCTCTCCGGGATGAAAGGAGTCCAGAGTTCTGTGATTTTAGGCTTCTGGAAATACATTCCAAGCTTCTAGTCTGTAGCAAATTCCCTGCCACCATCCCATGCAGTGTATACAGCAGCACTGAGTGTGAAAGCCATGGGTCTGGCACAGTTCTGTTCCACGTGCAGTATGATGACATCACTGTGGTAGCCAGGAACTGTCTCAGTAAAAGGACGAGCCCAGGGCGAACTGGACCCCTGCTGCAGAAATGCACTTCCAACGCCTGAAATGATCAGTGTTATGTGGCCAACCCACTCAAGATAGCAGCATAATTGGCCAGCAAGAATTCATTGATAGATTCTACCCAAGATATTCCAGTCCCCCCCCCCCCGTGCATCCGCAATACATGATGACTCACTGTCAGTATGGCATTGATGGCCTGTTGCATGAAGCTCTGAAGGGGAGATACCTTTCCTTAGAAAAATTCTCCCTTTTCTTTCTGCAGCGCCTGGGTCTGGCTGGCAGAAATGATGCCCTGGGGTAATCGGCCAACATTGCTCTGACGATCAGCCATCATTGCCCTGACGATCGGCCATCATTGCCCTGACGATCGGCCATCATTGCCTTGACGGCTGGCCATCATTGCCTTGACGACCGGTTGGCCGAGGCAGGTCTCGCCTATACTGGCACAGCCACGAATATCTTTCGTTTTCCCGTTGATGAATTATCCCTGTTGTGTTCATTACAGGCGAGGGGGGGGGGGGGGGGTAGCTGTGATGAACGTAAACTAACGTTAATGGCCAAGCTTGGAACCCAGAGCATAAAGCCCGCTCGCCTCGGCTACAAACTAACTTCACTGCTATTCACTTAGGTGTGCTTTACCTGCAGACCTCTCATCTTCACGCCTTACAAAGGAACACAAAAATCTACCATACTCTTAGCAGCTGAAGCCATTGTGTTGAAAACATATTTCTGTCAGCTTAGACCGCAAGCTGTGTTTATCACTCTTAGCCTGTCTCCATTTCTGTCAGCTCGATTGGGAGTTGTGTATATTGTTGTGCTTTTATATAAAGGGTGTTGTTGTTTGTGCTGGTTGCGCTGTGTAGGCGGCATCACTTTTAAAAGATGCTTGTGTCAAGGAACACGTTCTTGAACTACTCTGCATAAGCCTTTCATACCTAAGACATAGGATATGATAGAAAAGAAAAAGGACCGAGGAACTACACGTTACACTATAAATGTCCACTAACACCACCAGTTACTACTAGAGAAACAATCAGCTCATGCGATGACATTGCACGACACTGACCGACGGTACTGGCGTTCTACAACTAACTAACTGATACTGGGTATAGGTTAAAAATAGCAGTTGATCCCTTTTTTTCTGCAACCAGTACTGCTGTACAATTGGTTACTTGTAGTTGTAAGTAGAAGCAACTGGACACGTAACACACGAGGCCACTGACGTGTGCTCTGTCTGTCCTTGTTCTGAATCTGGGGACACAAGAGCTGCTGCAAACAGAGGGCTGTGTGGCAGCAGCCGCAACGCACCACTGATCCACAGCTAGCCCGCACTAAAACGTCCAAGCTAGCAAAGTAGTTACTCAGCACTACAACTGACCAGCATTATTCATTTGTTGTATTAGTAGTAGTCTTGGTGACACTGTTGTACCATGGGTAGCTGGGTAGGCACGGGCACTGCACACGCTTTTAGACTTTAGTAAAGTGCCTCCTGAGTGCCAGGCAAATGGACCTATTCAAGTGGCTCTGCAAGCAATCATCCTCAGCTAAACTAGCCTAAAGGACCTAGCTCAGTACTAACTTGGTCAGGCACATGTTCTCTGGAAGATTATTATAAAGTATCAATTTTCGGTTTTCAGGCTGTTCATTTCCCTCACAGTTTACTGTGAATCATACAAAGTCATAATAATAGTGTCCCTCTCAACCTATCTCGCTGGACCTCGTCTCTGGCCCTTTGTCACAAGTTTGTGTGTGTCTCCCTGGTCTGGCCCAGACAAGCACCACTTAGGTACTTTGAGAGGAATCAAACCCACTGCCCTTGGACCTGCCCTAGGTCCGGCACATGCAACACAGGAGCCTTTCCCCGGGTACGCCACTTGAGTTGTGTTGCCACTACACCCTGCAAGGGAGGCGTTATACTGTTGCCCAGCGTGCAAGAGAGGACTTCCAATACCTTCTACAAGTAGTCTTGAGATTATAAAACACATTAGCATAGTGGTGTACAGGTCATAAGCAAGGCCTGGCAGATAGAAAGTCACAGGCTCTCAATCCAGGAAACTAAAAGCCTTCTCTTCTAGTTCTTGTCCAGAGAGTGCGCGGGGCTGTGTTCATTCCAGTGTACATCTGCAAGCTGGCCGTATACACTGGCAATACGTTGACACGGGCCACCTGGACTCTCTAGTGCAGCAACAACAACAGTAATGTTGGCGATAATTACAACATTACCAACTCTCCACTCCAGTTAGTAGGTGTACACGTCCATGACAGGGGGGAATTCTTGGACACTTGAAGCCAGCACAGGAGCATTCCTGCCTATAATCACATGATGTGTACTTCTCCACATACAAGTACTTCTACAAGTACATACATGTACTAGGGAACAGTTTCATTTTATGTTTGACACATGAAAATCCAGTGATTGCCTGACTTGTCTTACTAACTGGCAGTTTAAATACAATAGACCGACCCATGCCGGGAGAGATGAACTGTTTCATGTGGCCGCCAAGCTATATAGCATGCCAGCGATACCCGCGCGGGAGCGGTTCTAATTTCCTTTTCCTTAGTGGTCACAACGTTGAACATGCCACATGTGCAAACACGTGTGCACGCACACACACACACGCATGCACACACACACACACACACACACACACAAACACACAAACACACACACACACACACATAAAAATCCGGCATGGCCTGCTGACTGACAGGCTTTGGTGTGTCCCACTCAACCTTTTCTTTAAAAAGCGTTCCCCACTTCCCCACTGCTCCCGGTCATCTGTGTTGTTGCGATGCCACTTTCACATAGATCAAAACAATTCCGATGACATCATCGTTGTCATGGTGATGATGTCACCGGAACAGTAAATCTGAAATCACGTCCTAAGAGTGAGTGAACAGCCTCCGTGTGTGAGTCTCGGAAGAGACTCTGACAGCAATTAAGTTCACCAGTGCGTGCTGTACATGTATCTATGACGCCCAATGTCGTGTACACAGCAACATATAAATAGCACTGTACACACAGGTGTGGGTAGCATATGCAGTGTTGCTCAATGAAATCCAATGACTTTTTTCACAGTTTGCGCCAGACTCGGCTAAAGGCCGAGTTTTCCGCATCCGTAGGAACGCCACCACCCTTCAAGGATCAAGGCGCGGATGCAGCTCCTAAAGCGGTGGGAGGTGAGCAGATCAGACCCACCACCAAAGTGGTCAAAGTCCGAGCATCCCATTCACTGCATCCATGAAATCCGATGGCGCGAGTCGAGTAATACTGAAGTATCAGAGTGCTCCCTGCACTAGTTCACTGTCCCAGTGTCCGCAGGTCTAGGGCTGCACAGCTACCGACGTGACACACAGCCGACTTGATTGAGCGGATTTCATTGAGCAGCAATGTACTCAGTGTATTCTGCACACTAACTGCATGTACTTGCTGCAAACACACCATCAAACAGGCTCCCCTGCATTGCTGCCAATTATGCAATTTAGTCTGTGAAACTCGTCAAATAGGTGGGTTAAGCGTGACCAGGAGTTCATGCCCTATGACCTGTCACAGCCTGGGATGTGAATACACGTGTTTTGAAAACACAAACACCGCGTGCAGAACATTATCCATCAAGCACAACATAATTATACACTTCTTTAAAGTGAAGTTCGCACGTCGTCCGAGTTACCACCGGCTATACAATTGTGTTGAGAAACACAGCCAGGCTAGGACGTTTCGCTTGTGCCAGGCCAGCACCATGCCTGATTATACCACAGTGGCAGATGCAGCGCCGATATTGTTATTTGACCTTGCATTAAGTTTGTCCTTACCTCGTCCGGTATTTCGTCCACGGCATGGCTGCCGGGACATGCGAAGGACACGTCCTCGTGGCATCGCTCGTGCACGGCAAACGAGCAGATCGTGCACTGGTATCCCGAGTTCTTCTTCAGGCCCCTGCAGTGTAGACACACGCATGCACACATACACACACACACACAGACACAGACACACAGACACACCCACACATCACACACACACACACACACACACACACACACACAAGCACACACACAAGCACACACACACACACACACACACACACACACACACACACACACACACCACGCAGTCAAGGACACAGCACACATTTTACTGTGCAGAATTCATGCACATATAAAAATTGTCTTGCGCGATGTTAATAAGGGTCTATTCAACAAGCAATATCCGCACTTCGTTTATTGTAATAATAGTTAGGTGAATGAACGACAGGAAACCAAGGCGAGCACCATGTATATGTACACAGGACGAAATAGCTGAGCGATCGCCAGCTAGATTTCGACCACAAGACGCATGGTAGATCTACCTACAAGTGTTGGTTTGTCGGGATTTGATGGCTATGTGAATCTAGCGCGCAGTAGACCTGCGAACTAGCACCATCCGTATTCGGAGCATGAGAAGTAAAAAAATTACACTGCGCTTGCACAGGAAACCATACACGGCACCAGAATGCAGTGAACATCTGCTCCAACCTACGGTTCGTGACCGATTCATGATTGCAACAAGATCTCCGGGCCCAGACAAGCTAGGGCAATATGGCCCAGCGATTTTACGGATAATGCACGAGGGGAAGTGTGAACTCAACGATGGCAGATCTACACCGCCGTCATCTTCCTACAAAATTCGGACCGACAGTCACCAAGCATATGGTTACTCCATAATACCCTATTCTTCAATCGGGGACGACTATCGCATTTTAGAATGTTGCAATACACGGACGATAAAATATCGGATATAATTGTTATGAACAAACCTCCATGATCGCTGGGGAATGTATCTCATTAATCGAACTGGCAGTGAATCGCACACCAAATGACACGCGCTCACAACGCATCGAAGGTGTCCAGAAAGCGTCCACGAACGTGAGTGCATGGCAAAAAGTAAGTTCACCTCGCACTCACCAGATTGTCTCCTTGCACTGCGCGCAGTGCGACGGGGTGCGGAAGAATCGCGACTGGAACAGGTGACCTTTCACATCGTGCACCTGCTTCTTCTTGACGGCACCGCGACGACGCTTCTTCTGAGGACGGGACACCACGTACGGATCGCTCATGGTCGAGAGGAGATCTGGTCCGTGTGTCGCTAGTCAACAAGTCTGAAATTCGAAGATGATCGGCCGTCTTCCTCGTGGGGGCAAACTGGACTCTGGTTTTCTCGACAACTCGCATGTACCCTATCGCAGTTCAGCCTTTTTTAGCTTTTACCAGCGGAACAGATTTTACGACGTGTCAGCAAATACTTGAAAGTCTTTGCAGTCTTTGCAGCACAGATCTAGCTCTGGCCTGGTTAGGAATAGGATAGGCTCAGCACACAATCAGGTCACGCGCAGACCAACGCGGATGTTGGCTAGCTAGCATGTGCACGAGAGAGATGCGGTCGCCACTTCCGCTGTCGACTTGACAGTCATACATGTAGCTGGGACAGCATAGCAGCACTAGTATAATCGTCAGTAGTCGCACCGTCCGTACCCGTGTGGGCTGTCACTGTGCTGCAAGTGCAGGTTGGTGTAAACAACTCTCGATCTCGAGCTCATTCTCGATCTCATCCAGTCGTACATTCTATGTTACGTACAAAGTCATAATCAGATACGATATTCATTTTTCAGGTTCCGGGCCATACCAGTAAGCATTACTACAGCCAGTACAGGTACTAATAGTATCAGAGTTAGCTCTGCAGCCTGCAGACTCGTCACCCGACACATGACACGTGAGGAACACAGATCGAAAGCGGTGCGCGCCGCGAGTGTTCCTTGACAAGCATCAAGAGTGACGGAAATGTTACGCATGACCTTGTTGCCACGCTATCGTCCACACCTACAGCGTTCCTAGGATTCTTATCTACTGTCAGTACTGAGTAACGACGGTACCTACGTGTATACTGTACAATCTATCTGCTACATTGTACTTGTACATAATCATTGTATAAACAGGCATGGATAGATGATTAGAAAAAGTCAACGCATGTAATTCATCATTACTGAGTCTCAGACTCTCAGTCACTGTTATCAAAGCAAATCATTACTTCGAAGTATTATTTTTGCCATAGCATAAGCAGGCATGGATGATTTTACTAGTAACTAATTACTACCACATTGACTCAGATGGAGAGCCAAGGTTTAATTTATACAAAAGGGAAAGACCAAGGAACTACAAGTATTTAGTTACGCTATACTGTCCACTAAGACCACCAGTTACTAAACAATCAGCTCATTGCTCATTGCTGATTGTTTAGTAACTGTAACTGGTGGTCTTAGTGGACAGTATAGCGTAACCTGTAGTTCCTTGGTCCTTTCTCTTTTGTATACCTCACCACAATGACCATTGTACTTTTGTGCAATGGTCGTGTGCATGGGATGGGTACGCGGGCTAGCGCTAGGCCATGCTAAGCAGAAGCACGTGCTGCTTGGATGGTGTGAAAAAAAGAAAAAAAGAAACACAGCTGCATGCATGCAGGCATATGCGCATGTGGATAGGAGAACTCCATGCAAGCACACATGTACATGTATAATCATGGTATTAGATAATCCTAGTACATGTACAGCAATGCTGCATGTACAATCATCTACATGTACATACATGACTGCAGCCAACCTAGCTCCGTGCATGACCTGACCTTTGCAATACTTGTAGATAGATGATCCGCTTGACAGCACTAATGCCAGTAATGGAATCCGCAGCGGAAATGGCACCAATCTAATAAGTCAATTGTTTGTGAGAACATGCACACACACACACATAACATGCACGTGACGTGTTTCCTCCACTCCACTCTCCAGGCTCTCTCCATCATTAGAGTAGAGATCAAATTCATAATCATACAGTTGTATTATAAAATAGCAAGCGGACTTTGGTACTAATATCGTAGCCCACATGAAACGGCAGAACTGGCCACATGCACAGTGACATGAGCACTTCAGCTCTAAAGCTTTCGAGTTTCGGCTAAAATAACAAGACAAGCTCGGCAGCTACATTGTACATTGTATCGCACAATGACGTCTTCTCCTGGATCCTGTCCAACACCAAGAACACTGGATATACACACTGGGTAGAATCATTGGAAATCCGCACCGAAGTGCGATAGTGCGAGGACACACGTACATGTACATGAATTGTACATCATCATTTTTGCGACTTGCTCACACAAGGTGCAGTGCATGCATAGTGCAGTGTACTAGTGCGTGCACGGTATCCTGGCACAGACTGACAAGTGAAACTAGTTACTTCCTATTCAGTAAATTTCATCAGCTGCATGGTTGTCACTTGGTTGTAACTTCTCAACACAATAATAAGAATTAAGATATAGCCGTTGGTAAGTGGCGTGTGCTGCGACCTTGACGTTACTACGAGGCTCACAAGTAAAATGAACAATGGCAAGAGCTATGGGTAATACTAGGAGGTGATCATCAACATGTACATGATTATACATGTTGCCGGCGTGGATATCAAAGAGGCGTTGCGGAAACATTCTCCAGAGCTGCACCACTCTATCGACGCCCTAAGATCGAGCGGATATGCGGAGCATGTCGAGTACGCCAAATAACAGACCAAAGAAGGTACTAGTAAACAGAAAGCGGAGAATCATTTTGGTTTAAACCCGGACCATACAGCGTAAATGTCGCCACAGACATTGATGGCCGGTTCCGAGTTGAGAATTGTGAGCGAGCACTTTCCAATGACCTCGCCACTTTCCAAGATTTTCAGCCGAAACACCCTGAAAGCCAGCTACCGCACCATGCCTAACATGAAGTCCATCTTCACCGCACGTAACAACAAAATTATCAAACAAGCCCGTGCCACACAGACAACGGCCACCCCGGGGGAACGAGACAGCGCCATCCCTATAAACACAACACCTGTCACCACTCCCACCCGAGCAAACCCAGCTTCTGCAATGCCACATGAAGCAGCGGGAACGGAAGGATACACACCAACTTAACACCACCACCGAAGCCAATGCTCCTACTCTCTCGGACACCGATATACCCCCAGCCAACCAACTGCAGTAGGAGGTCAAAATGTGTAACTGCAGGTCCGGCAAGGGAACCTGCCCGCTCGACGGACAGTGATTTAAAACAGATGAAAATCATTTACATGGCGGAAGTTCACGTGGCTTCCGACAGCGCCCCACCCAAAACCTACCATGGGCTGTCCGAGAACACACTCAGGCAGCGCCTAAACAACCACAAGACCTCATTCCGTCACAAAAAAAAGTACGAGAAAAGCACACAGCTGTCGAAACACGTTTGGAAGTTGCAGGAGTCGAACAAGGTCTATACGTCGAGTATACGATCTATCGGTTGATCCGATGCAGGGCGCTTCCCTACACAAATACCACCAAGAGGTGCGACCTGTGTGAGTGTGTCTAACAAATTACATTGATACGGAGATACATGTACAAAATGACTATGTACATGTACATGACATTTTGTACATGTACATGTACATGTACATGTACATGTACATGTAGACCAGGGAATCGTACCCAAGGCACGGGCGGATAACGCTATGTGGTGCTACTAGCACTGCTATAGACTGTTATTTGGAGCGATTATGCTAGTTTTGTATGTATGTACATTATACATGTACATGTATAATGTACATTGTAACAATAGCGAAAGTTCCCAGATTGCCTAGAGTGCTCAACACCACAAGGATGGAGCATTACCACAGAGGCGGAAAAGAACAGCGACAGCCGGCTAGGTCATTGCTGTAACACTGCGTTTCATGCACATAGCAAAGCTAAGGCAATCCTCAGACAACTGATAACCTGCACATTATCTGGGTCCAAATGTATACCCAGGCAGGCACATGTACATGTAGCTAAAAGAGGGCGCGCAAAGTGAGTAAAGCGCGAAAAAGCAGGTGGCATAGCGCGCAAAGGTGGCAAAAGCGCGACATTAGTGTGACATTTCAAGTGATAGGTTAGTTAGGGAGACATGGTGCGGATGGTGTCGGTTATTACATGGGAGGTGAAAAAAGATGCGGCCTATGCTTGCGGAAAAGGTCAAAAACATCCGCGCTGACGCAGCCACGCTTAGGCACCGGCGGATTATGCTCGAAAAGGTGACAGATTCTGCTCGACAAGCAGTGAAATTGGCAGAACCATACAAACCTTATGGCGGGCAATTCCTCGAATTCTGCTCCATTTCTTTATCCACATAACATGCATGAAACTTACCGGAAAAAGTACCGGCATTATTATCCGCTGGACCCTAGCCACGCTCCTCAACAAAAAATCAGAATTACATTATAGTACTATCAAAATGTCGACACCAGAATAAGTTCTACCTCTCGCGCTACGGCACTGGCGCCACTTTTCACCCGCATGCCGCCACCAGGCTCAGGCCAGGGCCTGCCTGCTTGCCCGCCGTCACTGTGACTTGACTGTCACCCCTCCTTCTCTCCCTCATTTACTCGCTTTACTCACTTTACGCGCCCTGTTTTAGCTACCTGCCTGGGTCACATGATAAATTTGGACTTTTACAATGCTAGGCTAGCAGTGCTGATAGTGCGACAAAAACCGCAATCCTTGCGGTGGGAAATAATGACTTCCCTATGCGGTCACTCGGAATATGGCAGTATCACAGGGCGAAAACGGTGAAAACAAATGCTTCGAAGTACTTACACTTTCATTACATCAGTACAGAGGGCTGACAGAGTCGCAGGGAGCAACAGTGTGTTTCTCTTCGCTCTAAAATTAAAAACAGCGCTACCTTTCACGGTAGTAGAAGTAGTAGTACCCGTGCGTAGTTGTAGTAGTAGTGGGAGTAGTAGTAGTAGTAGTAGTAGTAGTAGTAGAATTTATTATTTTGATAGGGAAGGCCCTACAGACGTTGCCGTCTTGTTACAGGGAACCCTAAGTGGTGCCAACAGTAACACTCAACAGACTGGACGTACACTATTGCCAGTTTCACTCATCGATTGTGCTAGACAAGGTGACATTATTTTGGAGACTTTATGCTAGGGCAGTGCCTGTAGCTGTCTTCCCCACATGGGTCATTATCCACGACTCCCTGATACCTGTACATAGTCATAGTCATTGTATGATCATGATGATATGACCCAACTACTTGTCCCAAGTCACCAGACTAGTCACCCAACTCCTCGACCTTGGTACTTGGTACAGTGTTTACAGTAAAACCTGTCAAGGCGACCACTCGGATAATGCGTTGTACACTGGTATTTTGACGACTCCCTGATGAGTGATGGTAGGCTGGGGAGAAAATACATTTTGGGATTTCCCCATTCTGGCATTCAGTTGCCATAGGATAGCACATGCACAACATGTGCATGGCCGGTCGACCGCCTCGTAGATCTACGATCGTGGCGGTCGCGTCGATGACATCGTACGACGATCGTGGGGTGTGAAGTGACGTCACGCATTTGGAGACTCCGAAAAAGTCGTTGAAAAAGCGAACGAAAGAAGAGAAAAAAAAAGATCACCAATCTGATCGTCTGTCCCACAACATTTACAGCACTCATTTTAGGTATTCGTTGAACATCGACCCTCCATCGAGATAATTGGCGATCTTGTATTTCTAAACTTGTTGGGGCTGTAATCCAAGCTCTCTGAACCCATTTCCAAGCGTAGTTCCTCCCAACTTAGTTCGAGTGTGCCCGACTCTTTCTCACCATGTCGTTGGCTGACGAATTGCTAGCCGATTTCGAGGAGCTGGGTGACGATGGGGAGGATGACGCCCAGAAGCAGGACGCCGAGGAGGAAGAGGAGCAGCTGGAGGAGATGATGATGATGGGCGGAAAGCTGAACATCAAACAGATTGCAAAACTGCATGGCTCCGAGCAGGTATGCACCTTTTTTTGTAGGGACACACATAATTATTTGAAAAATCATTAGTTTAGGGAAGGTGAAAGCACAATATCATATCCACACCTTACTTCAGGCTAAGTGCGTTTGTTTGGACTACTTACTGCCAGGGAGTCACCGGTATTGTTTGCAAAGTTCAGTAGTAACCCTAGGGCTAGCCATACATGCAAGTGTCCTTCGTCATGTAAAGAACGCGTTCCGCATGTTGTGAACGTTGGCATGGTGTTACATGCACGTATGCAGTCCCCCCCCCCCACACATACACATACTCTTGCGCAAACACACACACACACACACACACACACACACATGCACACACACACACACACATGCGCCCTCTCACATCCTCGCAAACATTGCTGACTTCTGCAGTTCTGCTTGATCTAATAATAGTGTTGGCTTGTTTGTTTGTGGAATGCAGCTGACAAGAGTATTACAGGAAATAAGCAAATATGCTGGGCAGGAGCGGACAGATCCTGGTGAGTTCGGACTACCGGGTGTGTGTGTGTGTGTGTGTGTGTGTGTGTGTGTGTGTGTGTGTGTGTGTGTGTGTGTGTGTGTGTGCGTGTGTGTGTAGGGATTCACTGGCCAGAAAAAAGCCACTTCAAAGCTGTGTGGTGTAGACCAGGCTGAATAGTGGTGGTCAATTCTTCAGCCTTGCAAGCTGTTGAATGGTGCAATCCCAGCACAAGTTGCTATGGCTTCTGCTGTAGCATCGCTATCATCGCCTCTGGCGATGGGCGTCCAATGGTCAATGGTGTGTGTGTGTGTGTGTGTGTGTGTGTGTGTGTAATCTATGGTGCTAGTAGAGCTTACTGTAAATCAACAAATTTTCGCTGGCGATTTAATTTCGCTGATTTCGCTGCTGGGTACCAACCGGCCAAAGTAAATCGCCGGCCAAAGTTGGTCATAGAGGCAACTGATGCATGGATGCATGTGAGAGCACCAACTACTGATCGATTTCTTTTTTGAAAACCCTAATCGGCCAAAGTTTAATGACGGCCAAAGGTTTCATTTCGAGATCGGCCGAAGTTTCTCACCGGCCAAAATTTGTTGATTTACAGTATATCAGATCCACTCTGATTTAGCCACCCACATTAGTAGCAAGTATTACCTTCACTGGGGGCAGGGGTAAATACAGTTGGATCCCGGGACGGATACCTTGATGCCGCCAATCCTTTTTCTGCATCTTTTCCTCGCCCACTTACTGAGGTGTGGTGAGCCCATAAGTGGGATCCTTTTCAAGTCCAACCAGAGTTTTGGGGACTTCAGGGGGTGTCGGCCGTTGGGCGGTTCAATAGCCTATTGAGTCATCTTTCCAAGATTCCTTTTGAGTCTCTCCCCCCTCTCCCGGGGAGACCCACGTGGCCAGTTTTGGCAGTGAGCAACAAGTGTGTGTGTGTGTGTGTGTGTGTGTGCGCGTGTGTGTGTGTGTGTGTGTGTGTGTGTGTGTGTGTGTGTGTGTGTGTGTGTGTGTGGATGCGTTTGTGCTTTCTTGTTTTGATGTGTGCTGTGACAGATTATGTGTTTCATGGTTGTGTGCATGTGTGTCCGTATATTTGTCTATCTGTATGTGTGTGTGTGCATGTGCGTACGTGCACGTGTTTGTCTCCCGGTTTCTTAGTTGTTGGCCCAGTGGAGCAAGATCCTGAGTACATGATTATCGTCGAGGCAAACAATATAGCTGCGGAAATTGACAATGAAATTGGTAAGACCATGTCTATGCATAAATGTATCATGTTAATGTATGTAAAAAGAGAAGAAACACATGAGAACGAGTTATGCAGCAACTATCCACGACTGGAACAAGATGATAAACGGTCAGAAGGGGTCCTACGTAACCATGAACCTTCCAAGTTGGAAGGCTGTTGGTTTGCGCACTGGAGATGTGTTAGAGCTAGGTCTCGGGTCGCTGAATGTCTCAGTAGCCTGTCAGTTTTGTGCCCTATTATCGCACTTTCTGACCGTTTATCATCTTGTTACAGTCGTGGATAGTTGCTGCATAACTCGTTCTCATGTGTTTCTTCTCTTTTTACATTTTATTACTGGCTCAGTATCAGAGTTAATGTATGGGCAATTTTTTTTTCTTTTTTTCTCTGATAGCCTCTTGCATGGGCAAATCAAAGTGATACAGCTTGTGTTGAAGAAGAAAACGGAGTTGAAAGTACTATGCTGTGAAACACACATGAGGCATGATCAGGGCATATGGCAGCTGAAAAGTACGAAAAAATGAAAGAACAAAATTGGGCAATTTGCCTCATATTGCCACCTCTTAGTTCACATAATATGGACGGAATTAATATTTAATATTTGATGTCCTTCCTGTACCCATGGCTGTACATCTCCCTCTACAAGTTGCTCTGTTGTGTGCGCAAGTGTGCAGGTGTCTGTGTGTGTGTGGGGGGGGGGGGGGGGTGCGTACACCGCTACGCGTGCGTGCATCTGTATGTGTGTGTTGTGTGTGTGCGCGCGCTTGCCTTACTCACTGCGATGTGTTGCACTTTTGCTTTGTGTATTCAGCTGTGGTTCACAAGTACGTAATTGATGAGTACAGCAAGAGGTTTCCAGAGCTGCAGTCACTCGTCGTGGCACCACTGGAGTATGTTATGACCGTCAAGGTAAAGACAATACAGAGTGTGGTGTGTTGGCAGATGACAGATAATGGTGGCCTCCTTGTTTTGCTCTTAGCCTTTCGCCGGTACTTTGGTGTTCCTCTGGCTCGGTTTTTTGAATTCTCTTCACTGTGTAGTATGTATGTGTTGGGGGGGGGGGGGGGGGGGGGTGGTAAGTGCGTGTGTACGTATTTGGTATGTAAATGCGTAAGCGTGTCCTTGTGGTTGGCACAGCAATATTCCGACTGGGCTGCGATAGTTGAAATTGACCTTGAAAACATAGTCATGTTTGTAACTTGACATGGATTTTTGTCTTGACCTACACTACCCCAAATCGATTTTTCCCTAACCTTACGCCGATGTTCGTAATATTATTATGTGGCGTGCTTGTGTGTGTGTGTGTGTGTGTGTGTGTGTGTGTGTGTGTGTGTGTGTGTGTGTGTGTGTGCGTGCTTGTGTGCTTGTGTGCATTCTTAGAGGCTGCTCAATGACCTAGAAGTGACCAAGTCTGAGCTGGCTGAAGTGCTGCCACCAGCCACTATCATGGTGGTATCCGTGACTGCCTCCACAACTCAAGGGTAAGCTGATTTGATTTACTAGTACAGTCGTCCCTCTCTAATCCGGCACCTTTTGCTACGGCGTTTTCTGCTGGATTAACGAGGGTGCTGGATTAAGAAATCCTGCCCTTTGACCCGGCCCTACCCAATTGCATGCATGTATCATATGTCAAAACGCAGGGTTTTTCCGTGTCGACCCAAGTATTTGGTGCATGGCTTTATATTCTCAACTGTTCTCCAGGAATATACACAGTGATAAAGTGATAAAGTAAAACAGAGAACATGTTCACATGTCCTCTTGCACACACACGCACACACACCTGAACATTGGCAGGACACTACTCCTTGCTAAAATAAGAAAGTATGGTTGACTGCTTAGCCGTTGTCTCCTGGACAACATTGACCCTCTTGAGAAGGCCACGCAAGCAGTCGACATCATGCAGGTCGAACGTTGTAGTTAGTTGTAGAACGTCAGTAGAGTCGGTCAGTGTCGTGCAATGTTATCGCATGAGCTGATTGTTTAGTAACTGGTGGTGTTACTGGACACAAGAGTACATGAAAACCGGTTTTCATGTACTCTTGGTGGACAGTGTAGCGTAACTTACTTGTAGTTCCTTGGTCGTTCTCTTTGTATAAATTGAGTTAGGGTTCGGAAAAGTCCACACAACCAACCGAACTGAACTCTCCCGCGCGAGGTTGAGTACAGTTGTCAACTGAACTGAACTCTGAAGAGTAGCCTGGCCTGGCAAGGAGTGCACCTGTACGGTATGCGATTTACGACTGCCGGATTATGAAATCAAACTACGTGCAGTTTGAGCGATTCGTTTCAAAAAGTCACTGCCGGAGGCGGAATTCAAATGCCGGATTAAGATGTAGGAATTGAACGAAAAAAATCGGTTTCGTCAGAAAGTGCGCCGGTTGGCAAGGGTTCCGGATAAACAAGTGCCGGATTAGAGAGGGACGACTGTATACTGGAATTTCACAAATTTTCAGTGTACTTTTATTTTGGTACTTTCGGTGCATCTGTTTCATACCTAAAATGTCAATATACCGAACAAACACTATCACACATAATCCAATAGGGAACAGCTTCCCTGTACCTAAAATTTCTGTTCACCTAACCTGGCCTTTTGCCTTCATACTCAAAATATTGAGCACCTAAAATTTCTGAAGGTAGGGTACTCTAATTTCAGAAATTTTCGGTGCTCAATATTTTCGGTATGAGGACAAAAGGCCAGGTTAGGTGAACAGAAATTTTCGGTACAGGGAAGCTGTTCCCTATTGGATTATGTGTGTTAGTGTTTGTTCGTTGTATTGAAATTTTAGGTATGAAGCAGATGCACCGAAAGTACCGAAAATAAAAGTACACCGAAAATTTGTGAAATTAGAGTATTCCGTCGTATAATTATTGCAATGTTATGTTTCTGGAATAGCTATTACTAGCCTCAGATACTTGATGTGTTTTGCTGATTATTGTCTGTTCTGATGAACTGACACACATGTCTTTCTTAGATTAGACTACCGGTATCTGTGTGCATCCGCCGCATGATCCATTTCCCCTCTCTACTTCCGTGTGCACGTGTGTATGTGTGTGTGTGTGAGTGTGTACATGGTGTGTGTATGTGCATATGTGTGTGTGTGTGTGTGTGTATTCACGTGTGTGTGTGTGTGTGTGCGTATGTGCATCTGTATGTGTGTCTGTGTGCATCTACCTGTGTTTAGAAAGCGACTTCCAGCCGACGACATACGCCGAGTGGAAGAGGCTTGTGACATGGTGAGTTGGCGTTACCTTAGCTACTGTAGTCGCTGGTGGGGCGTATGTACAGCTGATTTTTGTTTTGGTTCCCTCCCTCTCCCCATTGTCCATATTCTCTTCTTTTGCTTCGCAGTATAGAGTGGTTTCACATCTATCACATGACCATACTGGCCAGCCATGTTGGTTCCAACTCCACACAACCCCCTTGCATCTATGGCCGTAATTGCTTTCTACATTGTAGTAGTTTCTACACGAAGTTAGTCACATGACAAAGACGTGACGCCACTCGACACTCGTTGGGTGGCTATGATATCGTTCTATGAATTTTCCACCTATTTTTAAATGAGTATGTGTCGTCTTCTGTTTGTATTCATAGTTTCCATCATAATGCTGTGTGTAACTTATTGTTGGCCTCTGTTTGTTTTATCATTATTGTAATAGGTGCTGGAACTGAATGAAGCCAAGCTAACGATCTACCAGTACGTCGAAGGCAGGATGTCCTTCATCGCGCCGAACATCACCATGATTGTCGGAGCACCTGCCGCTGCCAAGCTTATGGGTAAGGGAGGGCTTCTCTCCACAAGTGTTTTCTCTGGAGGATGTCATGTGGACAATTCAGCGGCCTTGCAAGCTGTTGAATAGTGTAATCATATTCCGAGCGCACAAGTTGCTATGTCTGGCACAACGTGTTTGCTATCATCGCTTCAGCAATGGGCATGTGGATATGGATGTGGACACGATGTGGTTGTGTGCTGTGGTGCCACAAAGTATGCGTTCTTCGGCCCCTCGTCCACGGGTCTTGAGCTCCCTGCATGCCTGCCGTGTCTGCGTGTACTTTTCTCACAATGCTAGTTGTAGACTCCACTGATTTGACTGTGGCCATCTGCTATATCAATAAAATACCAGCATTTTCAGGCAAGGCCCACCATCAGCACCTCTAGCTGAGAGTGGTGTGAGAATGTACGTATATACTTTGTCTGTGTCTGTGTGTGTGAACAGGTATCGCTGGAGGTTTGACGGCACTCGCCAAGATTCCCGCCTGCAACATCATGGTCAGTTGTACAAGTACTCGTAGCTGCGTTTGAGAATAGAACTTCAAACTGCCATACTGAATCATGCAATCATTGCACTGCCTCTTTTCTCAGGTATTCTGAGTGTAAACAGCGTGCTACTCAGAAATTCGAACTTGGCCATAATAATGTCCTTCCAAATACCTTTGCTTATATTGCCCTGCAGTGGAACTTCAGTAGAGCATGCCTCCACGGGAGAAAACAAACCTGTACTCTTTATCAGTTGTACTCTGTATCTGAAAGTTGCTGTTTACATTTCACTCTCTTCATCTTGAAATCAAGTTTTAGTTGTTCCGAGTGAAATTGTTATTACCTGAATGGCCTGCTGACTGGCTGTATAAGCTCTATTCACTTATGTGTGTGTTTGCGTGTCTGTTTGTCGGTCTGTGTGTGGTGTGCGTGTGTGTCTGTCTGTCCATACGCGCGCTCGTGTGTGGTGTTGCCCCCCCCCCCCAATCTCAGGTTCTGGGAGCAGCACGTCGCCTCCTGTCGGGTTTCTCCTCTGCACAAGTACAGCCGCACACTGGCTTGCTGTTCTACTGTGATATCGTACAAGGCGTGCCACCGGTGAGTAGGAACACACACTTACAGTCCATTCATTGGAAATAGTCCCGCTGGCTTTTGAAAGTCTGATTTGGGCTGAATTGAGGATCAAAACCCCACTTTAAATCTCAAACATTTGGGTTTGGGATCTGCTTCTCTATACATTTTGCCATAGCTTACGCTTTCGTATCTGGCTTGCAAGTGTTGAGTTTCAGAGAGAGAAAAGAGCAGTACGAGGCACGTGGCCTCTAATTTCCTTCCACTTGTAGCTGTGCTCTAAGATCCCTCAGATCACGATGTGCTGATATGCTCTCTGTGGCTGTGTTTTGCGTGTTTGTCTGTGCGTTCGCATGTTCATCTGTGCGCTTGCGTGTTCACCTGTGTGTTTGCGTGTTCGCCTGTGCGTTTGCGTGTTCGTCTGTGCGCTTGCGTGTTCGTCTGTGCGTTTGCGTGTTCGTCTGTGCGTTTGCGTGTTCGTCTGTGCGTTTGCGACCACAGGACTACCGTCGCAAGGCTGTACATCTGGTCTCGTCCAAGTGTGCACTGGCAGCCAGAGTGGACAGCTTCCACGAGTGCATGGATGGCTCCAAAGGCCAGCGTAAGTTCTGCTCTAGCACCACAATCACAGCGCGTCGGTCACGAAATGATACTGCCTGCGTACAAGTAGTCTTTCCGACTTTTCTCACTCGCTGTTTACCTATCTTCACTGTTTTCGGCATCAACGGAATGTTGCCTTTGATATGGATGAGGCAGAGCTTGTGACAAGCATACTACTGGGATTTTCTGTGCTCTCAACTCTTGAGAACGACTAACAAACAGCAGCTTCATTGCTTTCATCGCTGAGGAGCTGCATCTGCGCCTTTGGCCGAGTCTCACGCGAACCATGACATTTTTTCATTGCGGTCCTGGGCTTTTGTTTGTGCCCAGGCCAGCGCGATCCAGAGTTGCCATCTCAATGCTAGTACAAGTATGCTGTACGAGTCTGTTATTCTTGCTTGCTCCCTGTGCAGAGTTCCGAGAGGAGATCGAGGAGAAGCTCGCCAAGCTGCAGGAGCCAGCGCCACCCAAGCAGCAGAAGGCACTGCCCCGTCCCGACGACGGCGTGCGAAAGAAGAGAGGTGGCAGAAGGTGAGCAGTGTTGAATGACTGATCTTGTTGTTGTTCTCAATGGAGAGTTGTTTGTCCCAGTGCCTCTCGTAGTCATGTGTGGAGGCAGTGCTTGCTTATTCTATGTCCTGCACGTCGGCCCGAGTGGCCAGTGGATGGCTGTCGGGCCGCATCCATGTACGCCGTTTGGACCGTGGGGTGTTTGTGAAACTGTGAAACAGACACGGCTGCAATTCCGGGGGAGAGCACCCTACTGGAGCGCAGTGTACCGTAGTGTGTATAGGTGAGGTTTTCTTTGCGCATACCATACCCGGTCACCTGTGCACGCAGCATGCACAGTCGTGTTTTCGTGGCGCTGTTCTCCAGTCAAAGCCCAAGAAGACGCTGTCTTTGGTTTCGTGCAAGTAACAATGCGCTGGTATGCGATGCTTACGTGTACTATAGGTTACAAGAGGTGTTTGCCAATGTTCTCTCTTTAGTCTGGAGAGAGTGTTCGTGACTCAAGGCATCAGCAGTACCCAGCATGCACCCCACTGCTGACCGCGGGCAGTTAGCCCGGGCCTGGTCGTCCATGCGGGCCAAATCTCACAGGCTGACACTGTAACACTGCAGCAAATGGTGGCGTGTGTTCTCCTGTGTGCACTTCTGACTGTTCTTCTGCATGACAGTGACTGCATTCATTACATAATGGGCTGACTGTATTCTGTATTCTCTATGATTGTGTTGAATTCACTGTGCAGGGTGCGGAGCATGAAGGCCAAGCTGGCTGTATCCGACATGCGTAAGCAAGCCAACCGGATGACATTCGCCGAGGTAAGCCATCGCCCCACTCTCTACATCTACATTGTACCTCCCATGCCAAATGTGCCCTGCAGCTGCCATATTAGGTCATGCCAGTGTCTGGGTGTGAGGTCAAGTGTCCTGCCTCAGTGCACTCAGGTGGTATGCCAGTGTTGTGTCGACAGTGCCTGTCAGTGTTCTGTTCGCTGCATACCATTGTGAATTTCCGGCCGGTTTTGTGGCATGCTGACCACCTCGGTACCCTGGGCATGGGTGAGAATCCACGTATCCATGGCAATGTGCCCTCTGGCTGCCATATTAGGTCATGCCAGTGTCTGGGTTTGAGGTCAAGATGCCTGCCTCAGTGCACTGAGGTGGTATGCCAGTGTTGTGTCGACACTGCCTGTCAGTGTTCTGTTCGCTGCATGCCATTGTGAATTTCTGGCCGGTTTTTGTGGCATGCTGACCACATCGGTGCCCTGGGCGCCATGGGCAAGGGTGAGGATCCAGGTATCCATGGCAACTGTGCACACACCTAATAGGCACATATGGCCTTTTGCACCAACCGTTTAGACGGCTTGGTGTTGCACATCCGTGTGTCTGCTTCCTGAATTCATAGTGTTCAGGTGGCTTGTGAATGTCTGACTTGTGTACGTTTTTATTTGGACTTTGGACTGCTCTGGGGCACATTCACATTTCCATGGCAACGGAGCGCGTTATGTTCGGCATGCATGGACGATTGTTGTGTATTGCTTCCGTTTTCTTTTCCATTGTGGATTTCTATTGTTTTCTCGTGGTGCACTTGTGTGACCATGGAACCAGGTTTTGCAACTATATCCACTGGGGAAACTTTTCTTATATGACCCTTTATGGTTACTTGACAAAACTTCATACTTACCTGGCACAGGGGACGCCGTGATCAATAAGGCGGCTCCCTCAGGATGAGGCCTCTCCACTGCACTCCGTTGGGGCTGAGGCTTGCGATTTCCCCAAACGTGGGAAACTCGGGTGCACAATTTATGGTAGAGGGGGTTTGCGTTCGCGCAGCCCCTGCTCTATAATCAATCAAAAAAGAGGTAATTATTAGGGAGCCACCCACAATCTCGTCCTTTCATGGTCGCATTGTTGAGGTGGCGCTGTCTGTAGTAAGTAGGTCATACGACGCAGGCCGTGTGCACGCTGTGCAGTCAATCCGTACTGAATTTATCTTCGAGCAACCACGAGCTTCACACAGTACAAACTTCGTTGCACTTTGCCATACGATTTTCTTTTCCTTGCTGTAAAGTCAAGGTGGGGCACTCTCGCGGTGCTTTGTGGTAATTCTGATCATTGTCAGTGGCTAAAAAGTCATGTGGGTCACGCAACCAGTTGCTTGTAGATTTGTGCAAGTAACGTTAGTTGTACCCAGCTGAGCAACTGCCATGGTGCCGTCCGCATTGAGGCACGTCAGCATGGTGTCGTCGCATCGCAACAATGCTTCTGTGAACCCTGCAGTCTCAGTTTGTAGAGTGTGTGATGACTCTGCTTGCATGAATGTCTTCCACTCTTCTGTTACTTGCGTGTGCGTTTGCCTAGATCAATGAAGATGCGTACCAGGAGGACCTGGGTGTCCATACAGGAAACCTGGGCAAGGGTGGTACTGGCAAGCTGCGTGCGCCCGTCAACGACAAGAAAACCAAGGTCACCATGTCCAAGCGGTTACAGGTGAGAGATTCTGTGTGCTGTGTGTGTGTGTGCGCGCGCGTGGGTGTTCAAGTCTGGTGTGCCTTTTCTGTTTTTGCACTATCCCTTGCCTTGAAAAGGTTGGAGCGACTTCATTGCCTTATGATCGCCGATATCTAAAGCAAGGGATTGACTGTATGGCTTAGTGCGCTTGCATAGCTGACGCCATATTTCTGTCTGTCTGTTGTCATTTACGCAGCGTGAAGTTCAGCGGCAGCAGACTTCCGGTGGCCGTACGTCAATTCGCGGTGCTGTGTCCGGTACAGCGTCCAGTGTTGCTTTCACTCCTCTCCAGGTTAGTGGGTTGTTTCGTCGCGTGGGCAATTGTGTTCGTTCGTGCTGCTGGCACTTGTTGTTGCCAATGTTTTGTGTGTTCGTGCGGCTGTGTTTCTCTGTGTCTTTAGCTCCGCTGTGTTTGCTGTGCTGTGTGTGTGTGTGTGTGTGCGTGCGTGCGTGTGTGTGTGTGCAGGGATGAATTTATTGTTATATCTTTGCATAGCAGTTTCTGCTATACAAAATCACAATTGTGTAGCAGTCTTTGATTTTGAGTAGCATTCTTCTGTGAAGGTTGGGTGTTTACCACATTGTCCTTCTTGAGAGTGATGCCTGAAAGCCCATTTGCAAAAAAACGACTGAATCATACATGTGCACGCAGATTGAGAGCGCCTGCACCACATACACTGCACTGTATGCATGTTACTTGACAGCGCAGGCTAGGCATGGATAGTCTGCATGTATCGCAGTTTTCTGCGAGTCATGGTGACTTTTGAGTAGCAGTAGATCGATTTTGCATCGCAAATTGCGATGCGATACAGGATAAATTCATCCCTGGTGTGTGTGTGTGTGTGTGTGTGTGTGTGTGTGTGTGTGTGTGTGTGTGTGTGTATCGTTGCTATAAAGTGAAAACCTGTGGGTGCACATCCAGTGCATTTGCAGATTTGCGTGCTTCTCTTGCGACGGGCGTATACATGGTACATGGTGTGTGTGTGTGTGTGTGTGTGTGTGTGTGTGTGTGTGTGTGTGTGTGTGTGTGTGTGTGTGTGTGTGTTCTATTCCATCTATACTGCTCCTCTGTGCTTGGTTGCTCCATGCGTCGTGTTGCTGCTTTACCTGGTTCCGCCGTATCGTCCCTTAGTACTGCTCCATCTCTTGCCATTGTTCCATTTTTTTTGTCCTTCTTCGTCTCCAGTCCTGTTGCTACTCCATCTGCTCTGCTGTGCTATATGCAATGCATCAGTGGATGCTGTCGCAACCTTTTATTACCTGGCCTTTCTGTGATTTGTTTCTGGAACATTTGGATTATCCAACTTGCTCCATCACATGGCGCACCCACTTCTCTAAGTCGGTGTTATTGCTGTTCCTACTTGCATTACCTGCAGGGTCTGGAAATTGTCAATCCTCAGGCGGCGGAAACGACGGCACCATCATCGGTGAGTGGAGCGGTGCTTGGAGATTTCTTTTTTGCGCTGCTTTAGTTGATTTGGAAGCGGCTCGTCTATTGGCAATGAGACATGTTTGTGTACCTGTGCTGGTAATCTCACTGCCTACACTGCTCACCGCACTGCGTGCGTTTGATTATGCCCGCGGACCGATGTTGAATCCGTTCATGAATCGCCCCTGGCCATTTACAGCACCCGATCGATGTGAGTAGGGTGAATGGATTCTGAACCGATTCCAGGGCTCATGACATGAAATCGAACAACGAGATTCCTTCCATGAATCGATTCATGGCAGTAATCGAAATAACGCACCCACTGATACCGTACTGGCAATATATGTTGCCGCGTAACACGTAACGCAGGGGGGTGCGGCGTAACGCGGGACCAGGCTAGTGCGACAAATTTTCGTTGAGTTCGTAACGCGCGTCCGGCGGGGTGCGGCGATCTTTTCATTGCAGTTTGCACTGCAAAAAAAAGGCTGAAAACTGTGAAAGCACGTGTACCGCGTGGTGAAAAGTTCAAAACTGGACGCAGCAGGAAGTCCTGACACTCGCTCTTCCCCTATGTCACTTTCCTTTTGATGATCTTTTTGTGAACAGATCACTCTGATAGTTAAAATATACAGTCTTCTATTGATATCGTTGTCGCCCTTTGCCGTCGGGTTTGTAACAGATAGCAACTGAATTTCTGTGCCTTCAATGTGGATGAAAAGAAAAAATGATGTGGCAAAAGCAAAAAAATGATGCGGCAAAAGCAAAAAAATGATGCGGCAATAGCAAAAAAGTGATGCGGCAATAGTAAAAAAGTGATGCGGCAATAGCAAAAAAAGGACTGCGGCAATATAGAAACCTGTGTAACGGCTCCTGTGCGACTTTGCATGTAACGCCCTGCGTGCGGCAAACATGTGCCAATGTAACGCTTCATGGCCTCACTGCGGCAACATATATTGCCAGTACGGTATAATGTAATGCTCAGCAGAACTATTTTCTAATCTTGCTTTGCTTTGCTTCCTGTGTGCCTGTGTTCTAATGCTGCTGCAGTCCAACAAGTACTTTGGTGCCGGTGGTGGATTTTCCCGCGTCAAGCCGGGCGCAAGCTAAGGATTGAACAGCGCCGCCGATGGCTTGTAACCCTCCAGTGCTGAGCTGGTCCGGGCTGTAATGCTGGCATAGGCGTGCGAGAGTGCTACCAGCGATACGCTGCTTGCTGGACCACGACTGTCTAGTGTGCAAAGCCCTGTCCACTCGCTGTAATGGCATTGCAGCTGGTACTCTTGTGTTCAGCTGAATGCCTTATGCCCTCTACTGCCTCCTCCGTGTACGAGTGTACATTTGGTACCATGGCGGTATATGTGTCAGCCGTTTGTATGGAGCATATGCGGTAACCAACGCTCGCTCGAGGCCACATCTAGACGCTGCTCGTACTGTGCTCACATCACCCGACTTGAATGCTTATATTCGGCTCACTTGGAGACCAGCATTCTGTTTGTGTGGGTGGCGTGTCTTATAGGGTCGGGCTCGGAAGAAGTTTCCATTTGGCCGCTGGCGGCGAAGCTGGAGACTGCCTTGGTATGCATCCCATGCCTGTGCTTGTGTTCGGTATCGTGTGGCTAATCGTCATCCTTGACAAATGTGTGTTCTTTCCACGGAACCACCCGAAAGCACACATGCGTATCTATCACGCAAGTCACGCGAGTAATCTGTGAAAAACTTCCACTATGCATACCCTGCTCATGAAATTTGTTATTAAAAAAATCTTGCTCGTGTCTCCGTTTTATGACGGCGCTCAAGTCTTGCTTCTCAATCGGTCATTTTTTTATGCTCACTTGTTTAGTTTTGCTGTTGAATGCGTTTAGTTATTTTAAAAAAATGTTTTCACGGATGGACTGTTTCTGTTGTGTTCGGATATGTGATGATGGTACAGGCCCGTGTGTGCCCGATTATTGCGTTTGTTGATAGTACAAGGCTGTATGCGCCCAATGCATGCGTTTGTTGATGGCACAGGGCTGTGTGTGCCAGCCAGATGAATGTGTTTGTTAGTGGGGGGGGGGGGGGGGAGCTTGTGTTAATTGTGTACCCAGTGGATGTGTTTGTTGCGAATGTGCAGGGTACTGGTACATACATGTAAGAGCAGATCTACTCTTGCTAGTAGAATGCTAGATCATGTGCAGATACGAAGAGGCACCACCCTCCTGCCATACCCCTCCATAAATGTATGGGTACTTGGCTCAGTAGTACAGTACAGTACTTGCAAGGACCACAACCCGCCCACCCACGGGTCCGTGGGCTATGGACTCTTGCCATTTCTGGTAGATCTACCGTTGATGATGATTGACTTCAGTCTTGTAGATCTACATGATTGTATTGCCACTATTGGTAATCATGGTAATGGTAGGACTAGGGAGTCATAACTGCACTGACGAATCAGTACTGTCAGTAGTCGACTCCGCGATCCGGTTGATGTGCGGACAGGCGCGGTTGTACGTCGCGACGTCGTTGTACAGTACTACACACACAAAAACACGTGGAGCGTAGAGCAAGCACGTGGGTCATGCAGACCTTGCCTTGCTTGAGCTACACACGTAGTTGAACTAGTTACTTGAAGACGGAGTTCGTCCATAAATTCATCCTGGAACTAACTAAACTCCTTGCACTGTTTGTCGAATGCTTCACCGTGTCGAGAAAGTACAGCCCTCTTCAGTTGAGTTCTTTCAAGCAGATCATGCAGTACTGCATGGTGGCAGTTATTCATCTCCGCGCGCACACGCCACAGACATAGATCTACGGGGGAACATGACATGGATTGCTGCATAGTGCATGGCACTAATTCTTCATTCTTTGTGCGCGAATGGGCCACAGCATGAGTGCTTTCGATTGCTCTCTGTTACTTGATGGCGTTGTCCAAGGCAGCCAATGACCTCTCAATCTCTCCGCTTCATCTGTGGAATCGGCGCTTGTACAGTACTAGTACTTGCCAGGCCGGGTATTTCTCCATGCCGTGTGCTGCATGTGTCGCCAAATAAATCAAAACCTTGCCGCAGGTGTCGACCACGTTCAGCAGAATAGAAAGGCCTGGCCCACTGCACCATGCACGTGAGACCAGCACTCGAACTTGAAGGTTGCCAGGCCGGAGCAAGCTAGAACAAGTACTAGCTGACTAGCTGATCTGTGCGATTTCAGGCTTCTCCTTTCCGAGTATAGTCATCAGTACCTCGGCATAAATTCCGTCCTTCGAAGCATCACTAAAAACCAAAGCACCCTCTGTCCCTCAACCTCCAGGCTTTATTTCATTTCTCAGCTTCTGCAGGCGAATATTTGCCAGGGTGTAGTGGAATTTGAGTTGAGAATCTTGTGATCAAGGAGTACTAGAAACATGTTCAAGCGGCTGAAGAAGGCGTTTGGCCGTGGCGACTCGGAGGACGAAGATGGCTCGCCAGAGCAGGTACGAGGCTCTCGATTTGTGTTTTACTTCCCTCCTGCACATACTGCGCACACCTGAGCTGGACGTGGTTTTCAAGAGGCTCCAAAGTTACTTGAGTCAAGACTGAGCACACTCGTGCAGAAGCCCTGGTGCTTTTCACGTCACTCAGCGGGGGCATGCTGGTTTCCCCCTATGGCCTAGTTGATAGCATGTCTAATATCTTACTTTGCTGCGGCTTGCTATCACATCCACTTCCATAATAACGCTGCGCCCTCCAAGCCATGCCAGAATCAATATCAAGTATCAGCATGGCAGGTGTCCGCACAGTGGCCCTGTGTTACGTGTGTAGTGTGTTTGTGATAGAAAACCCCAGCTGCACCGTCGTGCCTGTTCTCTTCTTCAT